GGAAAGATCCGTTTAGTTCAGTTCAGTCACTGAGTCGTGTCTGACTCTTTGTGACCCCATGAATCGCAGCACGCCAGGCCTCCCTGTCCATCACATACTCACGGAGTTTACTCAAACTCATGCCCATCAAGTTGGTGATGCCATCCAGCCATCTCATCTTCTGTCGTCCTCTTCTCCTCCTAGCCCCCAATCCCTCCCAGCATCAGGGCCTTTTCCAATGAGTCAACACTTCGCATGAGGTGACCAAAGCAATGGATTTTCAGCTTCAGCCTCAGTCCTTCCAATGAACACCCAGGACTGATCTCCTTTAGGATGGACTGGTTGGATCTCCTTGCAGTCCAAGGGACTCTCAAGAGTCTTCTCCAACACCATAGTTCAAAAGCATCAATTTTTCGGTGCTCGGCTTTCTTTGTAGTCTAACTGTCACATCCATATGTGACCACTGGAAAAACCATAGCCTTGACCAGATGGACCTTTGTTGGTAAAGTAATGTCTCTGCTTTTTAATATGCTGTCTAGGTTGGTCATAACTTTCCTTCCAAGGAGTAAGCGTCTTTTAATTTCATGGCTGCAGTCACCATTGGCAGTGATTTTGGAGCCCCCCAAAATAAAGTCTGACACTGTTTCCACTGTCTCCCCATCTATTTCCCATGAGGTGATGGGACCAGATGCCATGATCTTAGTTTTCTGAATGTTGAGCTTTAAGCCAACTTTTTCACTCTCCTCTTTCACTTTCATCAACAGGCTTTTTAGTTCCTCTTCACTTTCTCCTATAAGGGTGGTGTCATCTGCATATCTGGCATTAATATTTCTCCCAGCAATCTTGATTCCAGCTTGTGCTTCTTCCAGCCCGGCGTTTCTCATGATGTACTCTTCATATAAGTTAAATAAGAAGGGTGACATTGTACAGCCTTGATGTACTCGATATACTCATTTGAATGCAGAGTTCTAAATAGCAGGGAGAGATAAGAAAGCCTTCCTCAGTGATCAGTGCAAGGAAATAGAGGACAACAATAGAAAGGGAAAGTCTAGAGATCTCTTCAAGAAAATTAGGGATACCAAGGGTACATTTCATGGACAGATGGGTTCGATAAAGGACAGAAATTGTATGGACCTAACAGAAGCAGAAGATATTAAGAAGAGGTGGCAAGAATACACAGAAGAACTGAACAAGAAAGATCTTCATGACCCAGATAATCATAATGGTGTGATCACTCACCTAGAGCCAGACATAATGGAATGTGAAGTCAAGTGGGCCTTAGAAAGCATCACTAAAAAAGAAATAGCTAGTGGAGGTAATGGAATTTTAGTTGAGCTATTTCAAATCCTGAAAGATGATGCTGTGAAAGTGCTGCACTCAATATGCCAGCAAATTTGAAAACTCAGCAGTGGCCACAGGACTGGGAAAGGTCAGTTTTCATTCCAATCCCAAAGAATGCTCAAACTACCGCACAATTGCACTCATCTCATACTCTAGTAAAGTAATGCTCAAAATTCTCCAAGTCAGGCTTCAGCAATATGTGAACCATGAACTTCCAAGTGTTCAAGCTGGTTTTAGAAAAGGCAGAGGAACCAGAGATCAAATTGCCAACATCTGCTGGATCATCGAAAAACCTAGCGAGTTCCAGAAAAACATCTATTTCCCCTTTATTGACTATGCCAAAGCCTTTGGCTGTGTGGATCACAATAAACTGTGGAAAATTCCTCAAGAGATGGTAACAGCAGACCACCTGACCTGCCTCTTGAGAAACTGATATGCTGGTCAGGAAGCAAGAGTTAGAACTGGACATGGAACAACAGACTGTTTCCAAATAGGAAAAGGAGTCCGTCAAGGCTGTATATTGTCACCCTGCTTATTTAACTTTTCTGCAGAGTACATCATGAGAAACCCTGGGCTGGAAGAAGCACAAGCTGGAATCAAGATTGCTGGGAGAAATATCATTAACACCAGATATGCAGATGACACCACTCTTATAGGAGAAAGTGAAGAGGAACCAAAAAGGCTGTTGATGAAAGTGAAAGAGGAGAGTGAAAAAGTTGGCTTAAAGCTCAACATTCAGAAAACTAAGATCACGGCATCTGGTCCCATCACTTCATGGGAAATAATTGGAGAAACAGTGTTAGACTTTATTTTTGGGGGCTCCAAAATCACTGCAGATGGTGATTGCAGCCATGAAATTAAAAGACGCTTAGTTCTCAGAAGGAAAGTTATGACCAACCTAGATAGCATATTAAAAAGCAGAGACATTACTTTGCTAACAAAGGTCCTTCCAGTCAACACTATGGTTTTTCCAGTGGTCATGTTGGATGTGAGATTTGGATGATAAAGAAAGCTGAGTACCAAAGAATTGATGCTTTTGAACTGCGCTGTTGGAGAAGATTCTTGAGAGTCCCTTGGACTCCAAGGAGATTCAAGCAGTCCAACCTCAGGGATATCATTCCTGAATGTTCATTGGTAGGACTGATGTTGAAGCTGATACTCCAATACTTTGGCCACGTGATGTGACGAGCTATCCATCATCAATGGACATGAGTTGGGTTAACCCCAGGAGTTGGTGATAGATGGGGAGGCCTGGCGTGCTGCAGTCCATGGGGTCGCAAATAGTTGGACATGACTCAGTGACTGAACTGAACTGAACAAAGATGCAATACAAATCAGTTCACTAGAATAGACTTTACTGGATATAGAGCAGCAAAATAAAATTAAGAAGACCTCATTATACATGCAATTTCCTTCTCCAGGGGATCATCCCGACCCAGGGATCAAACCCGGGTCTCCCACATTGCAGGCACATGCTTTACCCTCTGAGCCACCAGGGAAGCCCTTATTATACAAAATACACTAGTTATTTTATTTTCTCTAAGAATTGGGGAATCAAGGTACAGTAGGGGTCTTTCTCAAACAATACTAGTCACAACCTTGATAGACTTCAGCCATCATGATTCTTTTAATGTTTTATTCCTTGGTTTGGATTGTTTTTCAATTTCAATTATGGAATTTTACTTTTTCCCACAACTTAATACTATACCTATAACCCCTTAGGTCTGTTCTGACTAGTTTATACCACAATAGAAATGTTTCTCTGCTCCTTAAATCAATTGTTCCAGAAGAGCTGCCTGTAGACAAATTTAATCTCTTTGGTTTATAGTTGTTTTCAAAATAATTTAGAAGTCCCTCCTGTAATTCCTGACATATTTAGTGATATTCTGTATTTCTCATCATGTTTTTAGAGAAAGTAGGGTAAGTATGTCATAACACAGTCACATTTGGTAAATCTAATTACTTGGGTATTAACACTAAACATTTTCAGTTTTTTTCTGAAGGCAATATATACTGCTCTAATGCAACATTTTTCTGTTCTGAAGCGGGTGGTAGCTACAGTAGAATAGAGATGAGTGTTTCTTTAAATAGAATAACTGTACTGTGGGTTTTCAATGCTACTGTTTGGTGACCACTAATTTCATATCTTAGCAGGCAAAACTGTATTTTATTCATTATGAGTGAAGCACATTCTGAGACTCTTAAAGGTGACTGCATGAAATATAAGGGCAAAAATGGATACTTCTCTGAACTCCACAGGACAGAAATTAACATGCACACCTGAAACAGTTTTGTTTTTACTGCTCAATTCCTTTCATGAACTATGGGATTTCTCCTGGTTTTGTCATTTGGGACCGAAGCTACTTAGTAGCCACAAGGATTGACCAGAGATTCCCTGGTACTCAGAGCAATTGAAAAGAGAGGTCTGCACTCTGGTACATATTCATAAAGCATACCTAACACTCTAAATGTAATGGAAATCACACTATGGCTCTTTTTTGCATCATGGCATTCCCATTACACCATGGGCAGCACATCCCAAGCTGCCAAAGAATTTTCTTTAGGGAGGCATGCCAGATTCTGATGCCGCCCTCTGCGTGTTCTGGAGGAATGACGTGGTATCTTATATTATACACAGATCCAGAAGATTATTTTACTGGTGCAAAAAGAGTAATCTAAAATTCACAATTATCTCATATTTTAAAAAATCACATAGTATCTGTAACAGTGACTGTTTTATTCATAGATATATTATACATAAATGTATATATATATATACACACATACATAAATATGTGTATGTGAGTATGTTTGGGTGTATTCATATAATATACAGATACTTGAATAAGATTTCAATATTTTCTAAAAGATGTTTCATTTTCCGGTATCTTGAGGATCTCCATTTTTTGTCCAATTTTCTGTCACTGTTTTAATATTTCTCTTTCAATTTTCCACAGCTGCTCTGCAATATTTGCCTTACTTTTGTTTATTCCATCATCTTTATCATCTCCAATTTCCTCCTTTCTAATGTTTTCTTGACTACTTCTGTGATACAGATCTAGTCATGTTTTAACTAAAGTTAACTAAATTACTCCAGCTAAAGAGGCCCTTGGTTCTTAACGTTGAAGAAACATGAATATCATAGCAAAATTGTTAATTAAATTTTTTAAAATTTTTGATTCCGTGTGTATAACTAGCAAGCTAGTCTTTTTCTCATGAGCTAAAACTGCAAGTAGCTCAATCTGAATTTTTTTTTTTGAAGTAGAAGACAAGTGAAATGACTTTACAGTGTACTCTCTAATTTTTAAAAGCCTTACCTCATGTCATGCACATAATAAATATTTGATAAAGGCATCACAATGGAATGAATGATAAACTTTGGATGGATATAATCTCCAACAGATTTTGAGAAAAAGTAATTTTTAACATTTTGATGAAAGGCAAAATCTTATAAGTATATAGGAATGAAGCAGGTAAATTGTTTCAAAAGTTTAATTTTCTTCAAATCAAAGATTTCATCTGAAAGAACCAGAAAACAAGACAATTCTAGTCTATTCAGCTCACTACAAGTCATAAGTAACCATCCTATATGGCCTGGTGCTTGGTATTAGCAAAAATATTTAAAAGTGAAGAAAGAGTAGATAATAAATAGCAATTTATAAATTAAAAGAGAGTTTTACCAAAGACAGTCAGCTCTGCTGGATCACTGTCTCTCTCTCCCACCATGTTGGTGCCCACACAGGTATACATCCCAGCATCACTCTTTCTGGTATTGGAGATCATTAGTTTTCCACCACGGATCTGTTAAAATTGGAGGGATAAAAAAAGAAAGAAAATAAAAGAAAAAGGAAAAGAAACAGAGAAAGAAAGATCATTAATAAAAAATCTTGAAAAATTAAGCACATATTTTTTTCTCTAAAAGAAATAGTTGAGTGTCTAAGACACAAAACTCTCCCACTCTTTTGGCATCTTTTAAATTCTGCTTCCATGTAAGCCTCCATATTCTCTTTCTAGAGAATGCTTCTTTAAGGCAGTCTTTCTCTTGCCTGATCCTATTCCAGGCTAGTGACTGCTGCCACTAAACTTCATGGTTGGTCTTCATGCTGAAATTCTGTTGAATGAATTTCTATTGACATCTGTCATCAGAAAGAAGCACTATATATTTTATTTGGATAATATAATGAGATCCAATTGACTCAGAAAAATTCAATGAGTATTTGTTGAGTACTTCTATTGGCTGGGCAGTGTTCTAGGCTCTTGAGATTCAGTAGCAAATCAAATAGCAAAAATCTCTGTCTTCATGGGGTATTTGTTAGCATTAAAATTATCTTTGTCTCATCTTAACTGTATTTATAAGACAACTTTTGAAGAGGGATGTGAGGTTGAATAAAAAAAAAATAATTTTTTTGAATGATAAGTATGACTTGGTACAAACTTGGCTTTGTATAGATGGCCCCTAAATGTTTCTTAAATAAGAAGCATTTCTGTTTGAATAAACAAATATAGTGATGTTAAAATATTGTTTGTTAAGAGGATACTACAGCAGAATAAGCTTTTCAGTAAGTGTATCATCAACTTACAGGTTCTTTTCTAATTTAGATTTTTTTTTAATCTCTCTTAAAAAGAGATATGAGATAAGAATATGCTGGTTTCTTCCTTTACTTTTTAATTTCACAGGCAGACAAAACTCAAGTAGGTATGTTTTCATCAGACATATTTCAGGCTCTAAAACTAGCCATGTCATAACAAAGTATTTTCAACAGTCTTTTATACTTAGGAAGAAAAGATCATCGACCTTTTCTCAACTAAATGCAGTAGAATAAATGATAGGTTACAAACCATGGAGGCCATTTTCCTCCCCTTGAAGATGAAACTGACAGTATGATTTGATTTGTTCAGTGGAACTAAAGCAGCATTTTACCAGAAGAAAGGTACTTGCACATAGGGACTTGACTGCTTGCTGCAGTTGGAACCCTGAGACCACTATGGGAATGAGCCCAAGCTGGGTACACGCTAAGCCACTTCAGTCATGTCTGCCTCTTTGCGACCCCATGGACTATAGCTCACCAGGCTCCTCTGTCCATGGAATTCTCCAGGCAAGAACACTGGAATAGGTTGTCATGCCCTCCTCCAGGGGATCTTGCCAACCCAGGAATCAAACCCATGTCTCTTATGTCTCCTGCATTGGCAGGCAGGTTCTTTACTACTGGTGCCACCTGGGGAGCCCCTAGCCAAGCTAGTCTCCTGGAAGATGAGAGGCTATGAGGAGAAGAACCAAGATGGCTGGCTTGCGAGGTAGTCAATGGTCAGACATGTTAGTCTGGGAAAGTTATCCTAGGTCATTCAGCTGTCAGCACACTTTCAGACAAGCCACAGAAGTTGGAGGATGCCTAGCAAAGACCAACCAACATGGCCAAGAGCAAATGACTGTCAACTCACACACAGAATCACAGAGTAAGTGCAATGGTTGTATTGTGGAGTGATTTGTTACAAAGCAAAAATTTAATGATTACAAACACGAAAAAGAAAATATTTAACAGAAGCACGTTCTCCTAAGTTTGGTAGCCAAGCACAGACCATTGGGAACCAAATGATTTTTCACTGTAGATCTCCACTGTCCACAGTTCAAACCAGAATACTCAGGTGAATATGCTGTGATCTTTTGCATGGCCTCTCTGGTTCTGTGTTATGATGTAATCACAATGTACATGTAAGAATAAAATCTCACTTATATATTTAAAGATAATAGACACCCAGACTATATGGACATTTTAACAGAAATGGTACATTTGTTCTGTTAAATGACGCATTATTTTAAATAAAATATATTTATTCTTCATTATTGTACTGAGTACAAAAATTGTACTAAGAACAATGTCAGAAGTTTGAGGCATTATCTACTATTTCAGTGACCAGCTCTCACAAACTCCACATATTAATGTTGAGTAGATCCTCCGAAAAAAAAGTCTGTATACAATTTCTCTAACTTTTTACCATTTTCTGGGTGTTTTGTCTTGATATTAATCAACTGATTAATGATGATCAATTTCCCTTGAAAACAGATTATTTTTCTGTAAGGATTAAACTGCAGAACTTGGCAGTTATTTTAGCATTGATTTTACTCTACATCTCTTAAACTTTGAAATGAATTCTCATAATATTTTAGTTATAAATATTACATTGGAAAAACTGGAAAAGAGCTTGAAATATTCATCAACACAAATTATTTCCTTTTATAATTTTGAAAGTAGTATGAAAAGAAATGTTTTAGTTAATACAGTTTATGGTCATCATTTACACTTTGACACTTATGTACTGCATGATCAATAAATGCATCTGGAGTTCCTAAAAAGAGCTTTTGACATCAATATTCTACTAAAAAGATATATTTACATATTCAGATTGGTCCAGTTATTAATATAGCATATGTACTTTATTTATATAATTTTTGTCTCTTTGAAGCCTCACTCCAAAGTTTTCATTTGGGTATCCTTTTTCAGTCTTTTTCAATATAGTATAAATAGTAATCAGCACTCAAATAGAGTTATATAACTTTATTAATGATAAATAACAAATAATATAAATAAAAATAATACAAATAATATATATAAAATACATCCATTTTAAAGCTTGGTATCCAACCCCTCTGGGCATCCACTCTAATTTTACTCACACTTATTCTTTCTTCCTTGTCATCAATTCGAATTTTATCTTTTTTCCAGTAGATAGTAGGTTCTGGGTGTCCCCGGGGAGGCTGGCACTCCAGGATTGCAGGCTCTCCGGCTGCCACTACAACATCTGTGGGATTTTGCCGGAAGTCATCTCGTAACACTGAAGAAAAACAATTGCAGTAAAAGAAAATTCAGTGATAGTAACTTTAGGTTTCTCTTGCAAAAGGCAACTTCAAGTCTTAAACATGCCCGTCTTAAAATATGTCAGAGCCAACCTGAGTGCTCATCAACAGAGAAGTGACTAGTTATATGATTATGAATCTCTTCTATAAAATCTGAGTTTAAAATGAGATAAGCTGGAGGAAAATAAGATGAGAAACACTCATGATGCAGTTTTGAGATTTAATACAAACTCAAGGTACAAAACTGTTTAGGTAATATGATCCCATTTTTCTATTCAAAAAGCATATATGTATACATACATGTATATAAATACATTAACATTAACTGCCATGCTTGTTAAACTTAAAGCCCTGAAACATGTCATATGCACATGATCTGGGAGCATGTATGCACATCAGTCAGGGAGGGGGAGTGGAGTGAGAACTCTCTGAGAAACGCTTTCTGGTGACATGAATATGGACAGGATCCACACTGTTTTCATTACACTTCCAAAGATAGATTCATTGTTCACCCTTGTAACGCACTAGCACCCACATACACAGGACTACATTTTCATTCTGTCTGCATCTCCACCTGCCGAGCGACATCTGGGCAGCGTGACATTCGGAGCAGAGATATCCCTTATAGCAGCTTTGCCAGTCTGAATTTCCCCTCCTTTCATTAGGAGAACAGCAGGTTGGACCTCCGTTGTAACCTCCGAAAATCTGGCATGCCTGGCTCTCCAAATGTCACCTATCTATCTCTGTACTTTTCTTCCCCTGGCAAGATGAAAAGCCTGGAGAAATGACTCCCTCCTATCAGATTGCAGAATGCTGATTTATTTAGCAAATAAGGACTATATCTATTTTAGGGTAAACATTCAAAGAAGTATTTGAGAAAACCGGTGAAGGAGATTAAGGGGTACAACCTACCAGTTATAAAATAAATCAGTTAAAAGAAAATAACAGACAGCAGAGGGAATATAGTCCATGTTTTATAATAATTTTGTATCATGTGTAATCTATAAAATATTGAATCACTACGTTGTACACCTGAAACTAATGTGATAGTGTAAGTCAACAATACTTCAATGAAAATATAGTTGAAAGCAGCTAATATACCATATAAGACAACAGCCTCCGCTTTTTATAACTGCTTTAAAATTTTCTATTCTTTAATATTCTAACACTGACAAGTTTTTTTCCCAATATACTTTGGGCTAGAACAATCACACATTCACACAAATACATGTGTGCATATGTATGTGTATGTATATGCATGTACACACACATACATTTTATATATGTAAATAGGTCAAGCTATTTGAAACTGGTCAAGTTATTTGAAATCAAAATTGGGCAGCTTGTGCTAGCTTGTTATGTAAATCATCTGCTGCAAACATGGATTAGGTCAAACCAACTGCCTTTGATGTTCCATAATGAGACCCACTTCAGCACTCTGCTTCTTTGTTGGGCTAAGTCTCCAGGTTAATTGTCCTTCTCCAAATAAATAAAAATCCCCTGTCCTGAAAATAGGTCCAGAGAGAAAACTGAGTGACTTTTAGGGCTTTTCTTTTCTTGTCTCTTGCAACAACATGGTTTTCCATCTTAATGAAGTCATGGCCTTTTATGAGATCAGAGAACCTTGTCTCCTATTGAAGGAACCATAAGAAAAAAGTGAGCACAAATTGCTCACTCTCAGTTTATAAGCTGATTAATTTACTGCTTTAGCTGCTGTGGAAATGTGTTCAATTTGAGCAGAGTGAACTGCATATTTTTTGAGCTCTCTTGTCTAACTGGCAAGAAAGATGCGATTTATATGCATAGGGGTTTGCTTCTGAATGGGCTGAGAGAAGTGTGCATAAATGTGATGTTCCAACAGGAGGGGAAGAAGGGGTTAACACTGTGGTTCCCTACTGCAGGTAAATCCTCTAGGGAGAGCAAGCTGGTGATTCATTTATATTCTAAATAGAGAACAGCTGCCTATTTATGCAATGTTAAGACCTGCAAAAATATGGTAACAGGGTGGTGAGCACCCCTACAATATCCGGTACTGGCAGCAAATGGTGTTTTGGCAGGCCCTCAATCTGTTCCAAAATGACACATCTGGCCAGTTGGAGGACCTTCTCCAGAATGGTCTCCTCACAAATCATAAGCCAAAAAGCCTCCGCTCAAATGGCACTTAAGACCACTGCAAATCATTCAGAAACACAGTATTACATCAATTTGCAACAAGCCAAATTAAGACAGAAAAAAAAAAGGTCCTTTGACATGGGGGACAAAAAAAGAGAAAAATATCATAACAAACTAAGGGCTGCTACTCTTAAACAATATAACATGTGTTTATGGCATTCACACACACAAAAAGAAAATGACTCCAATTTGCAAATGAAGCCAAGAAATTGAACATCAACTGTAATTTTAGGCTTTCAGACTATACACCCAGAGAGTAGGGTGAGATAATAGTATAATTGGTACTGTACCCTCTTCAACTTGTAAAAGGTTCTTTTGGGGGTTTGTAGAGTAATTCATTTTTGCTCAGTGATACCATTTCTTTCACCCTGTGTATTTGGGGGTACTAAAATATTTTCTTTTCTCTCAAATAAAACATTTTTGAGAAAAATAACCCTTTCATCAGAGTCTAGCACAGCAACAAAGAATCTTAGGAATGTCTTTTTTCTTTTTTTGGTCTTGGAAAGTTGTTATTTTAATTGAGGGATAATTACAATATTGTTGTAGCTGATTTCTTCCATATATCAACATGGATTAGCCATAGGTAGACGTTTGTCCCCTCCCTTTTGAAACTCCCTTCAAACTCCCACCCCATCCTACCCCTCTAGGTTTCTCTCCTTCCCACCTGGAAAAAGTAATTTTTTACTCTTCTCAAATTATATAAACGTTGTGACACTTGCTTATGTGTGTCTGAGGTTTGTATATCCCTTAGCAAGTATAAAAAAAGTAAAATTAAATAGTGTTTACCTATTTTTGGCTAATTCTTAGTTTCTGTCTTGGATTTTGCCCTGTGCTTTATTATGAGTGATAAAAAAAATTGGAGGTGTTCTTTATAGTAAAGGATTTATATATGTGAGATAAAGGGAACTGAAACAGTTCCATAAGTGTGAAAAAGTAAAGCAAATCCAAATTGAGTCTATTTTTTTTTCTCATTAAGCCCCTATTCTAGAAAACACACACACACACACACACACACACACACACACAACTAAAAACTGAGAGCCACATTTTCACTGTGGCTTGAGCAGTAAGCCAAAACAAGAACATGCAGCAATATGTGTATTACCTAGAGCTCCAAACAAAAACAGGGTGAAGAGAAATAAACATGAACTGAAAAGAATCTGGTTAAAATGACAAGAGCTGGGAGCAGGATAGTGGTAAGTTTTTTTTAAAGAAAAAAAAATATAATAGGTAGACTTTTGATATAGTATGTGCTTTGCAGATCTAAGTTTAGGATACAAGGGCTCAAATCTCCATGGGGAAAAACAGAAATGTAGTTGGCTAGAACCCAAATATTCATTTCTGTATATGAGCTGAAAAGCAGAAATGAGAATTCACTGAGCTAGTTATAGCCTGGATTAGACCTGAATTCTTTTTACATTAACATGCACAGTGACTTAGACAGTTATTCTGGAACATCAGTAGATTCAGAATTACTACTGTGTTTGATATGATAGAGTTCACATTCATGACATAAATATCTATAACAAATTATTTCAGTTCTACAGGAAGATACTGAATACTACAATGTACTTTGCACAGTTAAGGAATACTGTATTAAATAAAGATGACATGATGGTGCCTGTGGTAGGCTTTGGAATGACACGTTTATTGTGGTAGGTAAGTTCAGAGTGTGAATCCTGTATATCTGACTCTAGAAGGAAATGGCAACCCACTCCAGTGTTCTTGCCTGGAGAATCCCAGGGACAGAGGAGCCTGGTGGGCTGCTGTCTATGGGGTCGCACAGAGTTGGACACGACTGAAGCGACTTAGCAACAGCAGCAGCAACAGAACCTACATATAGTCATTACGCTACAGTGATCTGTAACATCACCTGCATTTATTTTTCCTGTCACCGCTGTCCTAGTTGAGGCTGTCTTATCTCTTCCTTAACTACTTCAAGAGTATTCTATTTAAACTTGTCTTCTGATTTCTCTTTTAATCTCTCTACTGTGGTATTATGAGCTTGCTAAAGTGCACACATGATCACATCCATTACATTTTCACAACTTTTAAAGGTTCTTAAGAAAAAATCCTCTTCTTAATGTGACATCAGAGTTGTATAGAATCAGGTCACCACTTATATTTTCAGGCTCATCACATACATTCCAGCGAGCCTCCTATACTAGACACACAGAGGAACATCTCATTATCAATGTACAGTAGCATATATAATTTTTCTGCTTGAAAACCTTCCCCAGGTAACTCTTTGTCCCCATACCTTTCCCTGTTTCTCTCTTTAAACACATCCTGTCCCTTTGGTGTCAGTTTCAGCTTCACTCATCTGAGATTTCCTTTCATATGTACACTGGACAAGGTGGTGGTGGTTTAGTCTCTAAGCTGCGTCTGACTCTTTGTGACCCGGTGGACTGTAGCCTGCCAGGCTCCTCTGTCCATGGGATTTCCCAGGCAAGAATACTGCAGTGGGCTGCCATTCTCTTCTCCCGGGGATCTCCCCAATCTTGTGATCAAATCCACGTCTCTTGTATTACAGGCGGATTCTTCACCACTGAGCCACCAAGGAAGCCCCCACATTGGACTAGATAAACCTCCAAAGGGCTCCCATCTTGAAGGGCATCAGATGAGTTCATCAAGTATACTTGAAAGGTTGACTGAATTGATCAACTCCTCTTCAAAAGGGGTGTGTTGCAGTCTTTTTCTTATTATATAAAAGAGACTACTGTGTCTTAATTTGATTTCAAAATGTGAGTTCTAAAGAACAATTTCGTTGGTAGGATTTAGGAGACAGTGCATTTTTCTTGACCAC